TCTTGGCCGCTGTGACGGGGCAGCTCACCACCACCGTGCGCAGCCCCGAGTTGTCCGGACGGATGGTGCCCGCCTTGATCTGGTCAGCAGGGCACCCTCCCGTCCTGGCCACAGCGGCCACCACCTCACTTTCCGTGACGGAGTCGTCCAGGCCCAATATCCGGACATCCACACATTTGGTGGGCCTGGACACGCGGGCCTCGTCTGCCCCGAGGCACGCCCTAAGCCTCTCAGCCAGGGCGTCGGCCGACGGGCCACTGGCCGCGCCGGGGACCTCCAGTAGACGGGCTCCGGTAGCGGTCACCTTGACCGCAAACCCGTCCGGGGCCCCGAACTCCGCAGGTGTTACCGCCCCCTTGAGCTTGGCGAGGACGTCACCATAGGTAACGCCCCTATTGACCGCCTCGGGCTGCAGTGTAATAACTACAGCCGCGGTCTTAGGGGCGAGGAGCAAGGCAGCAGCGCGTTTCTCCCTGCGCTGCTGCTGCCGTCGCTGCCGCTGCGCCTTTTTGCGGCGCTTTCGGCCCTCCCTGGCGACTCTCCTCGCCTCGCCGGCGATTTGCCAACCGCCGCCGTCCTCCACTCGCGGGGCGGGTTCTGCCGCCGCTGCTGCAACTCCAGCTTGCCGGGCTGGAGTGTCCCTCCTCTTTTTGCGCCTCATGGGCGCAGGCGCCATCGGCGCAGCTGGGGTCTGCGCCGGCGGGGGCGCCGAGGACCTCGCGGGAGGAGGCGCCCGCGCCTTTGCCGGCGGTTGGGGGCCGCGGCCAGCCTGACCAGTGGAGGTCGGAGGCTTGGCCACAGCAGCCGCGTATGAGCCCGATGCCGCGGGCGGGGAGGCCCGGCTCGATGCGAGCGGGGGGCGCAAAAGCCTGCCCTCCAGCACGTCAAAACGTCGCTGGAAGGCAGCCATCTCCGCTCGCAGCAGTCCGACTACGTCGGACTCCGCCGGGGGCTGGGGGTGACTGCCGCGAGCAGCGGCGAGCTCGGCCCTGGCCGTCCGCAGCTCGGTCTCCAGGGCCGCATTGGAGGCCGCCAAGCGCGCCAGCTCCCGCCGCATCTCGCCCAGCTCGGAGCGCACCTTTTCTGCAGTGGGCACCGCGCACTGCTCCAGGGCTGCCTCCGTAATAGTGGCCACCGCCGCCCTGAGGAGGGAGAGCCTAACCGGCTGGGATTTCCCCATAGCCAGTTTATGGAGCACCTCCGTGATGGCCTGTCGGAGGTGCCCGGAGCCGTTCGCGCTCTCGGAGCCCGACTCGCCCTCCGAAACCTCCACGCCGGACATCTCGGCTGCGGAGGACTCTGAACGGGCAGCGCTCGAAAGAGCCCTGCCCTCCGCAGCCAGCTGCTCGGCTGACTCCACGCAGGCAACTGGTGCCGGTTTCCGGCGACCGCCGCCCTTGCCGCCCCTACCCCGCGCCGCCGTTGGGACTTTAGGGGGAGGCGCCTGCGCGCCGGAGGACGGGGACGAAGCGTCCTCCTCCAGCCTGGGACGCTTAAACGTCCCCGTCACGCGACGACGTGAGCCCTTCGAGCTCACGCTCAGCCGATCCGCCAGTGATGTGTCGGACTCAGGGTCCGACACCATCGTAATTGATGCCCGTGTGTGGGGCATGCTAGATGTGTCCAGCGTCTCCCCACGGGCGCCAGAGCCCCTTGGGCTCCCCTCTACTACGTCTGCAGGTGAGCCAAGCTCACCCGCACTCTCCTCCTCCGACAGTTGTGGTTTTGTTTTTTTAGGTTTTACTTTCTCCATACAGTTCCCACGAGTATGGGGGAAATATTCGGTCCACCCAGGCAGTGCCCCCTGTACCTGGGTAAGTGTTCATTTGTTTCCCAACTAGAGGTTCCACTGGTCCCCTAGCTGGGGGTGCGCTCGCGACTGACACTACTCCTCAGCCATGCATACTCTCGCCGCGCACCAGAACTTAGTATTGGAGGAATTTTTTATAGAGGTTATCTTCCTCGCGGTCCGGGCGACCAAGCCAAGACCCTCGTCCCGTTCAGAGTCACAAAACATGACCGTGACCTCCTTACGGGTTACGATATCGACGGCTGCAATCGGGGACAGCTTGTGTCCCGATGCTGCTCGCTGGCAGGGTGAGTGCACAACGAGCACCGCCCTTGCCTCTACGCCACGCTCTCTGCTATGTCCAGAGAGACGGGCGGAGAAACGCCCCTCGGAAGCGCGGGCTATGAGCCTCCGCACACAGCCCGCCGCCTCCAGAACCCTATCGGGTTCGCCCGCCCAGTCCAGAAGTCTGCTGCGGGCGACAGTCACTCCAACCCTATCACCCCCGCTAGGGAGACTGTCGCCCGCACCCAGGGTGCACCACGGGGAGGTCTTCTGGCACCGCACCCCGAGTCCCATGTAATAGGGGGTGATTCTATTGCCATATACCGAGCACAATTCCAGTCTCCGTGCTACTACTGTGAATTTTTTTTTGAAGAACCCAGTTATACTTGGCCCGACCCGGGAATGGAACCCAGGACCCCTTGCCCGGCAGTTGCACTTGCGACCACTCGGCCAATGAGGCAGTCAGGGAACGGGAGAACATGAATGTATAATAATATGAAAATCAATTATTTAATGAATTCGATATGAGTTTTAACATAATTTGTCGAATGTAATTGTCACTTCCATTACGCTTGTCTATATTATGGGAAGTGTAAGGTTCACTTGCACTAATATATTACATTTTGTGGAATATTCCATGCGTTTGATCTGCTCTCGCGTGGATATGAAGATCTAAAATAGAAGTGACATTTATCAGCCGAAATATACTAATCCGTGTAGGATGTGATTTTTAGGGAGGTTGCTGTATCAAAGAGAACTTTGAAAACATGTTAAAAATAAATATCTACCTATACCTTTTTGTTACTTGTATTTTTTTAAATTTTATTTATCCGTTCTACGGAAGAAAAAGATTATATTGACCACGGGTTAAAGTAGAATTTGAAATGGGAACGTCCTTGAGCCTGGAAGGGCTTCAGTGCTAATTCATAAAGAATAAAGTTTATTTTATCATAGTATGGATATCCAAGTATGGTTGGAATTTTTTATCATTTTTAATCATTAAATTCGCCACTGAACTACCATTTAAATAATGAAAATAAACCTTCTAATTCAACCAATGAGATCGAATTTCAGTTAAATATACAACAACACCTATCAAATATTTAGAATTAAACACTACCATGACATAAAGTATTGAATAATAATAATTCCGTTCCAATTGGCAATCGATATTCGGCATTTGAACATGCCGTTTGAAATTTCACATCGGTCGCTGTACTGAAAAGGAATTGTAAATTTCGTATTATGGTAATGAACATGTGCTAGCATTAAATTAAACCGGGCTAGGGTTACATGGAACAAAAAGTGACGCCATGTTAAAACTGACTTATAAAGTGTGTCGTCGAAATTGTTTTTTGACGGTCTGTGGTCGGTTTTTGGTCGAATGATTTATGATTCGAGATTCGTATTGTTTTTGTACGACTGCTTTGGCAGAAGGATCATGATTTTCAAGTGTATTTATTATACTGTTGACGTTGTACTATTATACTATAAATAAAAAAAGCATAAAACATCTTGAAAATAATCTTCACGTTACTTAATCTTCGATGATAACGGAAACTTTAAAAATGCAATTACTGTTTAACCCTTTAAGAGTCGACACCGTAATAATACGGGCTCTGAAATCTGTGCCCGAATCGCCACACACGTATAATTACATCATTTAATTTTAAAAGTTCTCATAGTGCACAAACTCCATGTAAAATGTGTCAATTTTAAGATGTAGGGTATATTTTTTATTGTTCTGGACATTTTTCATTGTTTTGAATGGTTTAAATACACTGTGATCAACGTCTCCTTACCTGTATCGCCAATCACGTAATTTTATGAGTACTAGGGATGGGGCGACAGCGACATTTTTAGTAAAAAAATACTTTAATGTCTCATTCCCTGACCTGCATACCAACTGTTATTAAACACCACCTTCCATATTATTCTATTCCTTGAACATATATTCACCAACAAAACATAATATGTATTTAGACTAAACAGACTTGCACGATTATTTCTCACACTGTCAACTTCAGTTAGATCGATCACAGTAAGGGGATCCCACTCCAGGGATACAACGGTAAGACAAATCTTTCCCTGAGCTCTTACGGAAAGTTTTCTCGGTTTTGCTGGACCGCATATGTTAGTCTCAACCAATGTTACGTTTATTTGTTCGAAAAGTAGTTGTATTGTCAAAGTTGTAAGTTTCAAATTAGCTTAACACTTGTAACACTTAATGTTTTTAAAGATCTTCAGAAAATATTAATACCTTCCAACCGAACTACACACACAATCTTTAACTATTTCATCGTTTTTTGTCGACTCATATTCATACATGAACATATAACTTTATTACTTTAACAAACATATTTTGTGTAAAGAATGTAAGGAGAGAGTGTATGTGTGTGTGTGCTAAGTGTGGCAGAGCCATACTTCGGCACGAATGGAACGGCTCGACCGGAGTGATACCACGAACTCACTGAAAACCGACGTGAAGCAACGCTTGCGTTGTGTTTCGTCGTGTGAGTGAGGTTACCGGAGTCCCAATTACCCTCCCCTTCCCCAATCTCCCCAATTCCTGAATCCCCAACGATCCTCAGACTCCTAATCCCCAAAAGGTCGCTAACGCACTTGTAACGCCTCTGGTATTCCAGGTGTCCATGGGCGATAATTTCAATAAAAATAACATTATTGTGCCGTTCACCCAACACTTGCCCATATTCCAGCCATTTAATTGTACCAAACAAGAAAATAGCGGTGTCGACCATTAAAATTCTGACAATGCAGTAAAAACACGAGCTAACATGTGTATTGTGATGAAAATCGAGGTGGTCAAGCGGGGGTGCACTCAGTCACCAGATTTGCAATTCACAATGCGTCCTGTTGGCAAACAGTCGGTCGAGTGACGAGTAGTGTTTGTAATCGAAGGCTTAACATGTTGTTCGCTACAACGATTAGTGTTGACGACGCTGGTTTCCGATACTGGCGTGGGTATCGTTCGAATTGTCGAATTGTACATACATGAAATTGGTTAGTTTTTGGTTATGCTATTTATGGGGTTAGCAGTTTATGAGATACGAGTGATATTTTTGATTTTATATACTACATTTTTTATTTTATAATATCGACTGCTGTTGTGAGGTATACATTACACCCGTTATGCTGCAGATTTAGTAAATAAACCATCCTATAAACTTCAGTCCTATCTAAAAAGGAATCAAAGTCATTATGTAACATTAACGCTACAATATTTTATACCACTCTTAAATTTATGTAATATAACATAACATAAAATCACGCCTTTTATCCACGAAGGGGTGCCCAGAGATGCACATTATCATCATCATCATCAACAGCCTATAAATACCCACTGCTGAGCAAAGCCTCTTCTCACACAGAGAATTGGTTTGAGCATTAATCACCACGCTTGCTCAATGCGGGTTGGCGATTTCAAACTTATAATTAGAAATTATAAGTTCAGGTTTCCTCACGATGTTTTTCCTTCACCGTTTGTCAGTGGTGTCTAAATAATCTTAGAAAGTACATATAACTCGGAAAAAGTCACATTGGTACTTGCCGTTGGTAGGTTTCGAACCCGCACCCTCATGCATGAGAAGTGGGCGTCTTAATCCTCCGGGCCACCACGACATACAATACGACACGACATGCAATAGATGCACATTATGCCACTATACAATGTAACACCCACTTTTCATTATTTATGTTATGAGTCCCATGTAATAGAGGGTGAGCTTATTGCCATATACCGGGCACGATTCCAGACTCCACGCTACTACTGAGAATTTTATAAAAACCCAGTAATACTTTGCCCGACTCGGGAATCAAACCCGAGACCCCTTGCCAACTCAGAGACACTCGGCCAACGAGGCAGTCGATCATCTTAAATGTATGTATACAGTTTTGTAATCATATTTTTACATTATAGTAGCACTTAATTACTATTAAAACTAAAAACATACAACTAATTAAGTAACAGTATGTATGAAGACAACTTTGTAACTTGAAAACGGAAAACAAAGTTGACAAGTGGCAACTTCACACATATGAATTAATTTCCTCTGCAAGCAAGTTATGAAACATTGCAAGTTCATTTTAGACTGCTAGGCTGGCGCGGTGGCTGGGCAACCGGCTGCCGTGCAACGTCTCGCGGGTTCGATTCCCATACGGAACAACTAAAACCCTAAACTAAAAAAAAGTTAAAAAAAAAAGAACTTTTTATGATTAATTCCATTCTTTTGAAAAGGCTTACTCCACGATTTAGAAATATAATGAAAATGAAAATTTATCTTTTCTAGTTTGCTAATGCTTTCATTGTTTGCTAATTCATAACCAATTGTATATAGGTCAAAAATATATTGGTGCTACGACTAAAACTAAGCTGTTTTCACCAACCCTACCCTTCCTTTGCATTCAAGTGGTATTGACAAGTTGATGATATATTAAGATCGAATGACAAGTGAGTGATGGACTTGTCGATATAATTAATCGGAACTGTATATCGATTCGACTGAAGAATTAATTGATGTTGTGTTTCAAAGTCGTTAAGGCTTTATTTTGTTTGTGGCAACAATTATATAAATGCTTTTGTATAAGTATTTTTACCGTGGAAGGATTTTTTTATGTTAATCTAGCACGTAATTTTATCATTGCAATATTATGATTAGTATTCAGCGTTTCACAAAATACATGTTTATACTTCTGCTCATAAATTGTGTAATAGAAAAACCTATTTCAAGGTAACAATAAAAACAGAAGCAACATTTTAAATCTCCTTTTTAGAAACTACAGGAAAAAGAACGAGAAAAATTATCGACTTCCAAAATACATTTATCTATTGTTCTACCCTTCTTCGCGCCACAGAAGCAAGAACTTTTTTCTAAAAAAAACTTCTCATATCGCATTTACTCCGCACCCCAACTGAAAGCATTACGGACAGTCGTTCACAAATAAACTAGGAAACAAAAACAAAAAAATATCTCACTTCAAAAAACAGTAAAGAACTTGTCATTTCTGTCCAATTGAGTTAGGTTGGGGTGGCCCAAAAAATGTCAACTCCAATACTGCTAAAGACGCAACGATAGCACATTTACCAGGTAGAATCCGCTTTATTTTTAGCCCTGAATCGATTTCCACGTAAATATTTTATTTCTTTTACGGTGAACAGATAATTGTGTAATTTGAGGAAATTGTAGCCATAATTTCAAAGGCGTACGTTTCTGATTAGATTGACATGGGTCTATATTTGTGCTTTAAAATTTCACAGAAGTCCATATTCGTTACACTTTCTGATTGTTCCTGACAGGGATTAAATATGGACTTTCATTTCCGAAATAAATCAGAGTACCCCTTGATTAATGTTTTCTGTCTTATAAATAAACAAAAACAGTACAAGTTACAGTGTTTTTATAATAACCATCATAATACATACTGAATTAACTAAAACTTTTGAATAGATTAAGTGACATCACAGCGCCTGCGTACGCTGCGTATGAAGAAGAGTCCCTGTGTGACCCGAAACTAGTCGAATTTTCTTAGTACTTTTGTTTTTTTATTCTTTGGCAACCGAGGTTTTCTCAGTATATTTACGTGAATAACCTGTCATTTTTAGTTGACAGGTACCTATCAGTATTTCAAAATTGTACAATTTCCGAATGTTTGTTGTCCTTTTTGTTCGTCAAATAGCCTAACAGAATTGTGTCTCACACAAATCACAGAAATTCTTGTATAGACTTCTTAAAATTCCTTATCATCAATCACCCTTCTCATTTTACATTTCAATTCAAAGATCACGAAAAATTCCAGCCAAACGGAACGAAATAACTATGCATAACGATTTAAAATTCAAAGTAACGGATACACTATAAACGGTGCCGATGGAATGTGCCAACCTTATTAAGCTGAATGAATAAATGCACGCGCCATTTTAAATTCAACATTCAACTATGAATTATTAATGTTAATGAGAGTTAAATTTCAGAATGATCGTTGTTCGTACTTTCGGTTTACGATTGTAAAATGTAGTAAATAAGGATGTTTTTATGGATGACGATGTGGTGATGAATTATTATAATTTAGTTTGTCTCATGCTGGTAACATAACATAACATCACGCCTTTTATCCCCGAAGGGGTAAGCAGAGGTGTATTACAACACTTACTGCCACTGTACCTCTGACAATAGGGTGAACCTATTGAAAATTCAGACTCCGTGCAACTACTGATATTAAAAAAAACCCGGTGATACTTTGCCCGACCCGGGAGTCGAACCCGAGACCCCTTGCCCAGCAGTCATACTTGCGACTACTCGGCCAATGAGGCAGTCATGTTGGTATTGAAATCTAACCAGAAACGATCAATGATCTAATACTTAATACTTGAATACTTTGACGCCTAAATTGAGGGTATAATTTTTGTTGTTTCCTTTTTTTACTGACCACAACCATTAGATGAAGAAAAGCTTTCTATGTCCTTTAAGGCATTTTAAATCACATGATCAATGAATCAATCACAATCACAGATGTTTATCTGTCAATCACGCTGAAACTACTGAACGGATTTTGATAAAAATTGGTATACTGGCAGGGTATGGGCTGAGTTAGGTGATAAAAATTGTATTCCGATTAAATGCTCCCATGGGATAAAACAGGAATACGCGGGCAAAGCCGCGTATTAAAACCAGTTAAATAGCTAGATATAAATCAACCACGGGTTTATGCAATACAAAAAGTAAAGAGTTATTACTTTATATCGTACAGTATTTCATTATATTCAAAACTACATTTGGTACACTGTATACATTATAATTTCTCTACAAGATTTAAATGTCAACCAGAAAATAACAGTTTGTGTGGACTGGGTATAAGTATGTGCTTCCAACAAAAAGTAGTAAATCTATGATACAAGCGTTGTCTTTATTCTGTGACAAAATTGCTGTAGCGTCAAAGACAATAGTTTTCCTTTGGTATCCATTTTTATTATCATACCAGCAACCCGTGCCGCTTTTGTTTGGCACGAGTGCAATTTGAAAGAATATGTCGACGATATATACATAAAGTAATTCACAGTAGGAAAGAATAGCTTAGAATATGCCAAAGATGAATAAATAATGAAAAATCTAGTCGTTTTATAGCTGGTGAGACACTAGTTAATGTAGCAGACAAAAATAATGACTACTGAGTTGAATTAAAAATAATAATATTATAAAGAGGAAAGATTTGTATTTTTGTATGTTTGTAATGAATAAACTCAAAAACTACTGAACCGATTGCAATAATTTTTTCACCATTCGAAAGCTGCATTATTCAGAAGTAACATAGGTTATATAATATCACGCTAGGTCCTATAGTTGTGGAGCAGTAACCAAAAATGTTTTTTCCCCCGTTTTTAAACGGGGGAAAAGTATCGTTTCTGAGGCCTTCCGTGGCGTGCGCTGAGCATATAGTTAAAGTTATACAAAAATGTTCTATAGATGAATTGTTTATCTTAACATTATTTTTAAAAAAGTCCGCGAGAGCATATGTCTACATTTTATAGTTTACCCATAACAATCGTTTTAATTAATGGTTCAATCCTTATAAAAGTTTGCTCTAGATAACTTTTGAATTGTTCAATCGGTTACCTTAAGACGCGACATCGACAACGGAGGGCAGGTCGCTAAAAAAAACTGAGAATAAATATAAATAAAACGTAAAACTATGTAAAAAATCCCCCGTGCGAAGCCGGGACGGGCCGCTAGTTAAAAATAAAAATGTAAAGCAATAGGGTTGATGCCTAATTTTTATTTTAATATCCGTCTTGTAGATTATTTTAAATCATTAGACACGTATTTTTTATTTTCTTACAAAAACGACTACTTTTGACGATATATTCATTTGAAATGTCGCGTGACGTCACTTCTATGTACATTTTATACGTAGAAATAACGTTTACGTAATAATTATTGTTTTATAATACGACAAAATAAAAAAATACGTGTCTAATATTTATTCATTACCTAACTTACGGACTAATTAGATTTTTAATTTTCATACCCTGTCATCATTCTAATTGTGTACATGATATACTTATACTTACTTATCAATGGGGATGATGACAGGGTATGAAAATTAAAAATATAATTAGTCCGTAAGTTAGGTAATGAAAAAATATTAGACACGTATTTTTTTATTTTGTCGTATAATAAAACAATACTTAGATAAAACGAATCAAAGTTTAGGAGTGGGGGCTAAAACGTCATTCCTTAGTATAAAATGTACTGAGAAGTGACGTCACGCGACATTTCAAATCAATATATCTTCGAAACTATTCGTTTCTGTGAGAAAATAAAAAATACGTGTCTAATGTTTATAAATAATCTATCAGACGGACATTAAAATAAAAATTAGTCGTCTACCCCATTGTGTACATTGATATACTTATATCCATAAACACCTTTACCTAAAAATGACACAGTTAGAAGCCAATGAACCATAAAAACATACCACAAATGCTGCCTGATGCTTTAAAGTCCCGCAAAATTTCGAATGTTATCTTTTTCTGAGAAAATCCCGTACACAACGAAGTCACATAATTTTTCCGATAAAACTAGATGACATCTTAATAAAGGCTTGTCTTTATAAAATGGAGTGCTATTAAACTGGTAGGGGAACATTTATTTCATAAAATTGACACGCTTAAACTTCACAGCACTTAGAACGTTGCGGCACGGGTCTTCATACAAACTTTGAGGTAAAAAAAATATGGAAACTATTGGACCTATTTTAATGAAACTTGGTGCTTTGGTACGTAACTGTTGAGTTATAATAGTTTTACCTATTCATACGTAATATTTTAAAGTCTAAAAAGGTACTTACAAACATTTTCGAAAACAATATTGTGCGCAATTTGTGATTTTAAGTCTTAGTTTTTATCTATTTGTCTAAACTTTTTTATAGATTACTCAAAGTTGTATTTTTCACAATAGGGTAGTTTCCTAAATTTAACTTTTAATGTCCGTCTGGTACATTTTTAAAACTTTAGGCATGTATTTTTTCTTTTCTCACAAAATTAATTACTTTCGACGATATATTAATTTGAAATATTGTGTGTGTAACTTCTAAACTTAGCGCCATTTTATCTACTTAGATTGTATCTACGTAGTTGCAATACTTATTGCAATTTAATACGAGAATTATTAAATTTTTATTATTTATTACAATTAGATTTTTCATTTTGGTACCCTGGAAACTACCTAATTTAATATGTTGCATATAGGTACTAAGTTTATTTAAATTACGTAGCATTTCTCAACACCAGAGGCAAAATTAAAATGTAATCAACCAATTTTTATTTGAAAGTTTGTTTGAAAAGCCACGCCGCGTAAAACCCCTTAACGATCTTCAGCCGATAGTATTGGTTGTTCCTTTAAAATATTGCTACCACATAGCGGTTTTTAGTTTTCCAAGCTAGTGGTTTATTTTCAATGTTTTATTTTTATTAAAAAGCAGCAGCATCGGGACGCCATTGAAGAATTTTTTGCAACGTTTTAGGATGGTATTTTATGTTGTCTTTCATTGAATTTTTCAACGATATTTGTGAAATATTTATTTCACAAATATCGTTGAAAATTTATATTTGGTAAACTGTTGACCTAGAAACATAACGCGGTACTGGTCAATAGAAAAATCTGTCAGTCAGTAAAAATGTTTAAAAAACTTTAAGAGCAATTATAACAGTAACCTAAATGACTAAACTCTATAATTATCTGCGTGTTTTCTTTCCAGAATAATAAATTATACTTTATATTTGTAACATCTTAATAAACATTATATTATGCTTGTTGCAGCTGTACTCGAGGAGACTACCTGAAGGTGTACTGGGAGGTCCAAGGTCCAGGGCCTCCTGGAGCTATCAACGAGCGGTCAGCCTGGGCTAGGGAGCTCTGTGGAAGCAGAGCTGATGCCCCACCAGCCCTCTACTCTCCAGGACCTTCGCTTATTTTAGAGTTCCATACTGGAGCAAAGCAGAACAACGCTACGGGTTTTGTTGGAACCTACAGTTTTATTGATAGACGTAAGTACTGGTTACTTTTTAAGAATGCTTTTTTTAAGAGAGTCATCGATTTTTGTCGTAGTGTTAGTGCGGTGAAACCCTGAAGTTAGCAACATGTGTTGTGATATTGAATATTACCTAAAAATATAAATATTTCAGAATTGTGTATAACATGATATAAAAATCTTATCATTGTACGTACCACTTACCCAATAGGGATGATGACGGGGTATGAAAATTAGAAATATATTTAGTCCGTCAGTTAGATAATGAAAAAATATTAGACACGTATTTTTTTATTTTGTCGTACAAGGTTAATACTTAGATAAAACGGATCAAAGTTAAGGAGTGGGAGCTAAAACGTCTCTAGAAGTGACGTCACACGATATTTCAATTCAATATATCGTCGAAAGTATTTGTATTTAAAAAAAAAAATAGGTGACGTCCCACGATATTTCAATTCAATATATCGTCGAAAGTATTTGTGTCTTTAAAAAAAATAAACAAAAAATACATGTCTAATGTTTTGTACCAATCTACAGGATGGGCATTAAAATAAAAATTAGTCATCTACCCATTATTCATTCGCTATGCACTTTTTTTTTTTTTTTTTTTAAGGGGGGAAAATCATCGAATGACTGCCCCCGCCTGGGTGAGGCGGGAGGGAGTGTCAGACTCTTACTGACTAAAAACCACCCTGTTCCTTCTCCTGCACGTCGAGCCGGAGCCCCGGTTACCCGTTAGGTTCTCCGCGACTTCGAATCGGCATCGGCCCTATTGGGCCCCATCTGTGGTGGTCTGATGGCTCTTTGAGGCGCGCGCGGAACGCGACGCGCCGCACGCTCGGGTCTGTTTCTGGTCGGACGGGGAGCCACCCATGCTCGCCGTCCGCAGGCCCGCGCTTACGGTGGCCGGAGATCGTCCCGCGATCCCCGACGCCCGGTGTGTCCTTCGCGATGGCTGGGTTGCGAGGAGGCAGCGCTTCGCTACCTCACGCGTCCCGCCTCCTCCTTAGCTAGCATGACTGCTTCGCAAAAGGAGGAGACGGCATCCCAATCCCCCTCGCTCCGCATCATGGCCTGCACTAGGCCCGGACGCGAGAGGTCGCCATCGCCGATCACTTCCCTGAGGACACGGCGGTGCTCAGCCCACGAAGGGCATTCTCCCACCGTGTGTTCCACCGTGTCCTCAGGGCGGTCCTCGCAGTGATGACACCCGGGCGTTTCCCCCGCCCCATCAGACACAGGTACCTACCCCGAAACTTCCATGTCCGGTGAGGACCTGCGTCAGGCGGTAAGTGAGGACGCCGTAGCGTCTCTCAAGCCACTCCTCAAAGAGGGGACTTACCGCTGCAATGGCAGCGAGCCCAGCCCTCGGTTGCGACAGTCGTTGCTGCCATTCCGCCATGAGATCGCGCCGGAGCTCATCCCGCCACGCACTTATCTGGCGCGGCAGCGGAGTTTCGCCCCGGCGACGTGCCTCCGCGCGCATGCTTACACGCGCGCGAGCACCTTCGCCTCCAGATCCCACGGCGGTAATCCGGCAAGGAGGTTCGCCGACTCCCCAGAGATCGTGCGGTATCCGCGGATCATTCGGATCGCCATGACCCTCTGTGCCATAGCAGCGTCCGAGCGGACGCCGCAACAGGTTCGGCGCCCAAACAGGGGCGCCGTAGAGGGCCATGGACCGCACGACCCCGGCGTATAACCTCCGGCAGGAGGCGTTTGGCCCCCCGAGGTTGGGGAGGATGCGTTTAAACGCAGCCCCCGTCCTCTCCAACTTTGGAGCCAAACGTCGGAAGTGCTCTATGAAGTTCCACCGACTGTCGAGGACGAGTCCTAGGTACTTCATCGCCGTCTCGACGCCGATGGTAACCCCTCCCGCCGTTATTTGGGACCCACCTGGAGGTGGCGCGTTCCCGTGGCCATGAAAACACATGGCCTCGGACTTGTGGAGCGCCACCTCGAGTCCCAACTGCCGGATTCTCTCAACGACAGTCGCAACCGCTGTCTCCATTAAGTCGGCCGCCGCCTGGTGCAACCTCCCGTGCGCTAGCACCAGCGTGTCGTCGGCGTAGCATATTGTGCTAACGCCGTTCGGGAGGTCGGTGCGCAGCACCCAGTCATAGCCGAAGTTCCACAGGGGCGGCCCTAGAACCGAACCCTGTGGAACACCGCGTGACATCTCTCGCCGGTTCCACTCGCCCCGGTGACCGGGGTAGCTGACGGACCTGTCCGTCAGGTAAGCCTCGATTACACGACGGAGGTAGGTAGGCACCCGATGATATCGGAGTGCCTCCAAGATGCAGCTCCAGGGCAGGGAGTTGAAGGCGTTGGCGATGTCCAGAGACACCGCCACTACGACCTTACCCCTGGACACTGCAGTCCCCGTCGTGAGGTCTCTAACGCGCATGATGGCGTCCACCGTGGAGCGCCCTCTGCGGAAGCCGAACTGGCCGTCCGACAAGTCCGGCCCAATGTCCGTCAGGTGCGCGACGAGGCGGTTCGAAATGATTCTTTCGAAGACTTTCCCCACCTCGTCGAGCAGCACTATGGGCCGGTACGCGGACGGAGAGTCCGCAGGGCGCCCCGTCTTCCGCACGAGGACCAGTTTTCCCGCTTTCCAGAGAAGCGGGAACTGGCCTCTCTCCAGACATGCGCTGTAGAGACCAATCAATCGAGGCCCGAGAGCCTCTGAGGCCAGGACCCATGCCTTGCCATGCAGGCCGTCGGGTCCTGGGGCGGTGTTCTTGGCGCCCATCCGGCGCACCGCCGCTCTCAATTCTGCCTCGGTCACCTCTGGGACGATGTCGTCGTCGTCGTCGCTGTAGCCCGCGTCGGGCACCGCAGGGGGCGGAGTCATATACGGAGGGGTGAAGCCCCTCCACAGTCGGGGGAACAGGGGCCAATCACCTCCTCCAAGACTTCTGGCCGGAGACTCTGAGTGAGCGGGGGAGCCCAAGGCACGGAGCTTGTCGCGTACCATCGGTACGGGCGTCCCCACGGGTCTCTATCAGAGTCCCCAGCATCTCTCGGCGGGCCTCCTCCTTGGCCCGCAATATCTCCGCCTTGAGGAGGGCCTTGCCGCCCTGTATCCCTCGTACAACTCCGCCTCTCTCGCCTCCGCATTAGGAGGACGGATGCGGCGCCTGCGGTGCCTAGTGTACTGGCGTCGCGCAGCAGTGCACGCCTTGCGTAGAGCTGCCAGCTCTTGCGACCACCAGTACACCTGGCGCTTTTGTTGCCTCGACCGGATCCGGGGCATCGCCACGTCACAGATCCTGGACATGGCGTCCTGGAGCCACTTGGCCTCATCGTCATGTCGGCAGGCCTGACCGGTGGTATCACCCAGGCCTGCACGATGGCGGCTTCCAGGAGCAGCTCCCGGTCCAGCTGTTTCAGCGCCCAACGCGGGCCACATGGGGCCTGTCTGACCGGCGGGTCTGCGGACTCGGCGGAGACGTCGAACCGGATATACCGGTGGTCGGAGTACGTCTCCACCTCCTCCATGACGCGCCAGCCAACAATACGCGGTGACAGAGCAGGGCTGGCGAACGAAATGTCCACCACCGACTCGCCCTGCATCCGCACACACGTGGGGACAGAACCCCGGTTCAGGACGACTAGGCCTGTCTCAAGGGCCCAGTCTTCCACCATCCTACCCCGGACGTCGGTGAACCGGGAACCCCAAGCCAAGTTTTTGGCGTTGAAGTCCCCGAGGACGAGCACGGGGAGGGAACGGAACCCGACGACGACAGTGACCAACTCCCTCAAGGAGTTGTGGAACTCGGCGAGAGTTCGGTTCGGAGAGAAGTACACGCCCACCACAGCGAGCTCTCCGAACCGTGCTGCGACACAACCCCGGCCTCTTTGAGCAGCCTCAAGAGTCGGGGTACCGGCGGCGGCCGACGAGATGATGGTCACCGAGCCGTCCAGGTCCGCCACCCAGTGATCCCTGGGCAGGACAAAGTACGGCTCGGAGACCACGGCGACATTGATCGACCACTGCGCCATGCTCTGGAGCAGGAGATCTGAGAGCGGAGCGCGCAGTGGTTGATGTTCGCCTGGAGGAGGCGGAATGGAGCCATTATTGACAGTCCATTCCGACTCCTCAGTGGCGGCAGCGGCGACTGCGGTGGCAGTGGCGGCGGCGGCGGCGGAAACGGCAGGGGCGGCGGAGGGCCTACCTTTGCCCTTTTTCAGGAGGGGAGCAGCCCTTGCTCCCGACCCGGTGATTGGCCGGCTTGCCAGCCGCCGCACATGCGTTGCAGTGCAGCGGGGCGTGCACGAGCCGGCCTTGTGACCGGGCCGACCGCAGCGGAAGCAACAGTCGCTGCGGTCCACCTCCGAGGTGCATTTGACACTCACGTGCTCCCCCACGTGACAGCGGTAGCACCTCAGAGGCCGGGTCTCGAGCAGCTTGACCTGCGCCGAGACCCATCCCACCAAGAGCCTTTTGCCCTCCTTCATTCTTGGCCGCTGTGACGGGGCAGCTCACCACCACCGTGCGCAGCCCCGAGTTGTCCGGACGGATGGCCCACCTGACTGGTCAGCAGGGCACCCTCCCGTCCTGGCCACAGCGGCCACCACCTCACTCTCCGTGACGGAGTCGTCCAGGCCCAAATCCTGACATCCAGGCATTTGGTGGGCCTGGACACGCGGGCCTCGTCCGCACCGAGGCACGCCCTAAGCCTCTCGGCCAGGGCGTCGGCCGATGGGCCGCTGGTCGCGCCGGGGACCTCCAAAAGACGGGCTCCGGTAGCGGTCACCTTGACCGCGAACCCGTCCGGGGCCCCGAACTCCGCAGGAGTCACCGCCCCCTTTAATTTGGCGAGGACGTCGCCATATGTACGCCCCTATTGACCGCTTCAGGCTGTAGGGTGATGACCACACAGCCGCGGTCTTAGGGGCGAGGAGCAGGGCAGCAGCGCGTTTCTCCCTGCGCTGCTGCTGCCGTCGTTGCCGCTGCGCCTTTTTTCGGCGCTTCCGGCCCTCCTTGGCGACTCTCCTCGCCTCGCCGGCGATTTGCCATCCGCCGCCATCCTCTGCTTGCGGGGCGGGTTCCGCCGCCGCCGCCGCAACCCAGCCTGCCGGGCCGGAGTGCCCCTCCTCTTTTTGCGCCCAGCGGGCGCAGGCGCAGGCGCCGTCGGCGCAGCCGGGGTCTGCGCCGGCGGGGGCGCCGAGGCCCTCGCTGGGGCAGCCGGTCGCGCCTTTGCCGGCGGTTGGGAGCTGCGGCTAGCCTGACCCGAGGTCGAAGGCTTGGCCGCAGCGGCCGCGTACGACCGCGGGACCGCGGGGGCGACCTGACTCGTCGCGAGCGGGGGCCGCAAGAGCCTACCCTCCAGCACGTCGAAACGTCGCTGGAAGGCAGCCATCTCCGCCCGCAGCAGTCCGACTACGTCGGCCTCCGCCGGGGGCTGGGGGCGACTGCCGCGAGCAGCGGCGAGCTCGGCCCTGGCCGTCCGCAGCTCGGCCTCCAGAGCCGCGTTAGAGGCCGCCAAGCGCGCCAGCTCTCGCCGCATCTCGGCCAGCTCAGCGCACGTTTCCCGCAGTGGGCACCGCACGTTGCTCCAAGGCCGCCTCCGTAATGGTGGCCGCCGCCGCCTTGAGGAGGCGGAGCCTAACCGGCTGGGATTTCCCCATCGCCAGCTTGTAGAGCTCCGCCGTAATGGCCTGTTCGAGGCCCCCGGAGCAGCTCTCGCTCTCAGAGCCGCGCTCGCCCTCCGACATCTCCACGCCGGACATCTCGGCCGCAGAGGACTCCGAACGGGCAGCGCTTGAGAGAGCCCTGCCCTCCGCGGCCAGCTGCTCGGCTGACTCCGCGCAGGCAGCTGGTGCCGGTTTCCGGCGACCGCTGCCCTTGCCGCCCCTACCCCGCGCTGCCGTGGGGACCTTGGGGGGCGCCTCCTGAGCGCCGGAGGACGGGGACAAACTGTCCTCCTCCAGCCTGGGGCGTTTGAACGTCCCCGTCGCGCGGCGGCGTGAGCCTTTCGAGCTCACGCTCAGCCGCTCCGCCAATGTTGTGTCGGACTCTGAGTCCGACCCCCTCCGACTAGACTCCCGTGTGTGGGGCCTGCTGGACGAGTCCAGCGCCTCACCACGAGTCCCGGAGCCACTTGGGCTCCCTTCTCCTGCTACTGCAGGCGAGCCAAGCTCACCCGCACTCTCCTCCTCCAATGTGGTTTTTTTTTGTTTTGACTTTCTCCATAAAGTTCCCACGAGTATGGGGGAAATATTCGGTCCACCCAGGCAGTGCCCCCTGTACCTGGGTAAGTGTTAATTTGTTTCCCAACTAGAGGTTCCACTGGTCCCCTAGCTGGGGGTGCGCTCGCGACTGACACTACTCCTCAGCCATGCATACTCTCGCCGCGCACCAGAACTTAGTATTAGAGGAATTTTTTATAGAGGTTATCTTCCTCGCGGCCCGGGCGACCAAGCCAAGACCCTCGTCCCGTTCAGAGTCACAAAACATGACCGTGACCTCCTTACGGATTACGATATCGACGGCTGCAATCGGGGACAGCTTGTGTCCCGATGCTGCTCGCTGGCAGGGTGAGTGCACAACGAGCACCGCCCTTGCCCCTCCGCCACGCTCTCTGCTAAGTTCAGAGAGACAGGCGGAGAAACGCCCCACGGAAGCGCGGGCCATGAGCACACAGCCCGCCGCCTCCAGAACCCTATCGGGTTCGCCCGCCCAGTCCAGAAGTCTGCTGCGGGCGACAGTCACTCCAACCCTATCACCCCCGCTAGGGAGACTGTCGCCCGCACCCAGGGTGCACCACGGGGAGGTCTTCTGGCACCGCACCCCATTCGCTATGCACTAAAAACTAAAGAAGATAATAAATCAATTTGAAAGTTAAAATGTACCTACTGAGAGAGTGTATATTACTTTTTACACACAACCGTCAATAATTTGTCTCCAACAACAATCAACAGTATAAAAACTCAATAATTCATTTCATGAATTATATAAACGCATTCACATTCACATACCTACATACGCTGCGAATAAACACGGAACCCGCATATTACTCAAAGATTTATTTTGGAAACGCGAATTCATACAGATGCGAAATTAATGAAGACTATAATTAATATACGCTTATTAAAACAGGTTAATGAGGGAAACTGTTACTTATCTCGTAGGTGTGTGAGATTAATTTCGTTAGTGCATTGCATAATTTGTTTGCGCACTCGACTTAAAATCAGACGTTCACAAGGCACGGTTTATTTATGAAATACAGGAATGTTGAGTTGTGAATTTTGCAAAGTTTATATTGTAATGCGTTTCGAAATGAATATACAATGCAATGTAACAATTGAAGACTTTAATATAAACTTCTTGGTACATAATTATCTACATCTGTAATTCCTGTATAAAAATAAAGTAAAGAGATGTCAAGTCGATTAATAAAGGTAAAATAAAATTCAACGTTTATCAATATAACTTATTATTATCACATAATTAAAACATGCCTGCCTCGTTGGCCGAGCGTTAGCAAATGCGACTGCCGGGCAAGGGGTCTCGTGTTCAATTCCCGGGTCGGACAAAGTAATACTGGATTTTCTTAATTCTCAGTAATAACACGGAGTCTGTAAATGCACACATTTCACAAATCCTATTGTCATATACTGTGGTATCATATGGTATGTGGTATAGGATCACTCCCAATTACATGGGACTTATAACATAAATAGTAAAAGGTGAGTGTTACATTTCACAGTGGCATTAAGTGCCGTTACACTTCTGCCTACCCCTAGGCATGATAAAAGGCATGATATTAAGTTGTTATGCTATGTATAAAGTAATTGAAACATTTCTAAATAAATTTTATTCCAAGAGTTATTCTAAAATCCATTAATTTAGATTTCCACCAATCAAAGCTCAGGCTATGCATGCGTACACCAGTATGCTCTATTTTAGGTAACCTTTGTCAGGTACGAGAATGCACTAAGCGGATATATTGATCAAAGCCAGTGGAGTTTGGTATTAAAATCCAATATTTATGCAAAGTGCTTGAATAATTCGTGAAGCATTTTTGTTTTGGAGCCCGAAAATTGATGCGTGGTAGATCCCCAGAGGGTCGGCACGTTTTTATGGTAGTTGCGGAACGTATTATGATTTGAATTTTGATTCAGTTTATTTTTTATAATACAGGGTCAAGCAAATGTTTGTGTAGAGTGTCGCAAATTGAAAAATACTTAGTAGTTTTTTCTGAGTTTTAAGGTAACCGTATATATTACACATTACGGCACTTAATGTCACTGTACAATGTAACACCCACTTTTCATTATTTATGTTATGAGTCTCATGTAATAGGGGATGAGCTTATTGCCATATATCACTACTCCAGACTACGTGGATTAAAAAAAAATAATAATACTTTGCTCGACCCGGGAATCGAATCCGAGACCCCTTCCTTGCCCAGCAGTCGCACTAGCAAGCACGCGTCCAACGAGGCAATCAGGCATTAATACACATTATACATTTATGTCCATTTTGTAAGTAACTCTAATAGAAGCATTCTGTACTTAAAATATTTTTTTAAGTACAGAATAACAAACCAACTAAACTCAGGTAAAATCTTGTGTAAAAATTTGAATAATAACAAATTCGTGAATAACAACACATCAAATCCAGCCAATTTACTTCAAACGTTCGTACTCTGTAATTTGTAATTTCTATAATCTGTTGTACAAACTTGAGAGCTACTGAACCGATTTTAACACGGTGTTCACAGTTGAAAGCTTATATTTGAGAGAGGTACTGATGTGTGAAATTTCACCCTTTGTCCTTGAGGTGGCGAGGACTGAGCAAACGTTTCACCTACGTACAAATATAAATAGGTACTCGTCTTATTGTGAATTGTGTTGCAACATTAAAAAAATTAGATAAGAATGCAAACGAAACAGATTTAAAAATTAATCACGGTTACACAGTAGGTACTTATATTCCAAGAAAAAGAAAACTAAGAAAATACATGCTCAAAATACTAAAAGCACTCCTTGTTTAGAAGCCTAGTACTGTGGACACAAATGATAAAGCTAAGCTTTTCGATATTTCTGAGAATATTGTAATAGAAAAAACATTACTAGTTCCACCGAGATGGATTTCATTTCCCTTACAACTAGCTTAGCTTAGGTAGGTGACAATCACAATCCAAAATGACAGCCTAAAACCCTAGGCAGACAACCTCATGAATCACGATTAATAAAACTAATAATAAAATTCAATATGGGACAGTCAAAAGTACTTATTTAACCGTGTTTACCCCCGGCAGAGCTAAACATACCTACGGGATCTTCCTACCAAGCACCTTGAAATATGAATAAGTGTGAGAGAGCCACGCTTTAAGTGTGGGAGAGCCATACTTCGGCACGAATGGGCCAGCTCGACCGGAGTGATACCACGGTCTCACAGAAAACCGACGTTAAGCAACGCTTGCGTTGTGTTTCGTCGTGTGATTGAGGTTACCGGCGGCCCAGCTACTCTCCCCCCTTCCCCAATCTCCCCATTCCCGAATCCTCAAACTCCTAATCCCCAAAAGGCGGGTAACACACTTGTAACGCTTCTGGTGGTCCAGGTGTCCATGGGCGACGCCGATTGCTTACCATCAGGTGATCCGTCTGCTCGTTTACCGGTTTATGCCAAAAAAATAAAAGATAACATTAACCTGATATTAGGTAGGTACCTATTATCAAATGCACAACGTTTAAATTAGCATAATTATCAAATAGGGAGATGTTAATTTGTATGTAAATTGCCAACTTCCGACATTTTAACTTCATCGTACCAAAATCTTTTACTTCGGTAATATGTTTTTGGATCTGTGGTTAATTTATGTTGACATCGTGTGGTGTGTTTGCTTTGGCATGTGAGATCTTTTAACTTTGATCATCTATGTTACTAAAGATACCATAGTAGTAATTGGTTGACAAAATAACGTAATTACGTTTGTTATTCCAGTGTTTTCTAATCTGTATGGTTGTTTAAAATTTCATAATAATATGGCAGATTGAATTGTTTCATTTGGGATAAGAAATTATAGGCTCTTTACATGGACTACTTTATGAAAAAGCCTGTTTCCGAATAGGTAGAAACTATAATCTATACGGTTTTAATACTTTTCCTTCAACGTAATCATTTTAGTCATAATCATTGCACTGCACGGTTGGCACGGTGGTTGGGCAACTGGCTGCCGCGCAGCGTGTCGCGGATTCGATTCCCACACGGAACAACTCTTTGTGTGATCCACAGATTGTTGTTTCGGGTCTGGGTGTCATGTGTATGTGAACTTGAATGTTTGTAAACGCATCCACGACACAGGAAAAAATCCTAGTGTGAGGCAACGTATATTAAAGATGAAGATTTAAGATAAAGGTATTTGATGTAAATGCTATTTGAAAACACACTTAGGTTCAATTTAAATATGTCAATTATTTGTGTTTATTCGTAAAACATTTTAGTTAAGGAGGTACCTACTAATGGAAAATATTTGAGGAATTTTAACGCTTCTAAGACTAATGTTAGTAATTTATAATTCACGAAATAGACTTAAAACATCCAGTTATTTAGGTATCAAAATAGCTTTCTAGACATTTCCAGTCGTCTGTTTATTTATTCAAAAGCTGACAACTATTCAAAGTATGATTTTGTGAAGTTATTATAAATTTGTATTATATTATAATGGCTTCAGTAACAAGATTAGAAAATGATAATGATTGATGAGTAGTTTCGCGACTTTGCTTACAAATTGAATAATTATTTTAAGTTTGCGAGGAGGATACATAGAAAAATAATCTTTATCTAGTGGTAATAAAAGTTTTATTGGATAAAGTTAGACAATGTAAAGTTTTATTACTCAACCTACTCTCAAAGAATATTGATGATACCTATTTATTTAACATCTAAGTAAGTGAATTTAACGCAATGCTGAGAAACTAAAACTACTTAAAGGACGTTTTTGACCAGGATATTCGCAATAGATTTTTTAACATAAGTAGGTACGCATTTTAATATGCAAGTTTACAATTTCTCAGAACAACAAAGTGCTATTTACATATTGGGCATTATAATATATCTGATATGAGCCATCCATTTTCATTACAAATATTTATTGCTCTGCATAAATATTTTAATACTGTTGGAATTAATTTATTCAGGAACGCATTACTAGGTAAATTCGACTTTCAACTGCAACATTTCGCCAAAGAGAAGCATTGCATTAAATGTTTGGCAGGCGCTATATTTAGTTTGAATTTCAATTCCACATTTTCTCATTCTTCAACTCTTTACAAAATCCTCATTATCTTGAAGTTATTATCGATAGCATTGCTAAGAATTTCAACCTGTATTCAACGAAGAACTTTATCGAACAATAACGGTACAATTTTTCCACCGTTTTGCGACGAAAACAATAGGCAAGAAATGCCTAAAATCCTTGCATTGTTTGAATAATAACTTGGGCGTTTAAAATTTAAACGTTTTCAGTATACAAAGGGTTGAAAGGACTTCTTAATGAAAACTGGAATCGTGATTATTTCATACTATTTACACGAATAATATAAGGGGCAAGTAATAGAAGTTCATATAGAGAATCTGAATAGTGACCAGCTTCTAATATACAAGCAACAATATCACCTAAATTATCAATAACCTTAGGTAGGTACTCCGATTCCCAAGGGCCCTCTTAAGGGGGCATTCCACTTTGCGCACCTAAATGAAGCGCACCCAGACGAAGCGCACCTAAAGTATTCCACTTTGCGCACCTGTAGGTGCGCTTAAAATAAAAATAAAATTTTAAATAAATAGTTTTTCTATTCCACGAAGCGCACCTACGAATATCACTCGCATAGTGCGGAGACTAAGAAATAAAAATATCGATATAAGAACATATTTATTATTTAAAAGACTAACTTAAATTTCTAACATCTGTCAGTTTCATTATAATAATGTGACACAATATTTGATATTTGTCCATGTTTTTATGAATTAACTATAAATGAGGATTTACTCACCTAAATATACCTACTGAAAAATACTAATACTAAATAATTATATTTTCTAACCACCTGTATATGTACATTATGGATGCAATAAATACTTGATTACTTGATTA